GTTCATCTGTTTTAGTGGCCCTATCACCATCAGCTAACTTGGAGTTTATTGATAATCATGCAACTTATAAAGGAGGAGGAATGTATATTGATAACAAAACTGAGAATCAATACTTTTATTCATATTTCTATTTTTCAACAGCTCTTAACATATTTACATTTAAAGGCAATACTGCTGGAGTAGCTGGAAATGATATATATGGAGTTGACTCTCAATTGGAATATCTTGCTTCTTACACATTGGCAAATCTTTCAACATCAAGTGATGCAAGTGCATTTGCTCTTTGTGATCCTGACAGTAATGAAATCACACCAATATGGTATGATGATGAGCAACAAAGTGTTTTTCCAGGTCAACCACTAAAATATAACGTTGCTTTATTTGGACGCACTTTTAAAACAAACTCATATAGTCTTACAGATGGAAGAATAACAATAGAAATTAATGGAACAATAGTGATAGACAAATACATAAATAATTGCTCACTGATTGAGTACACAACAAAATACATCAACCATTTTGGAGAACACAACATTACACTTATTGTCACTACTGATATATCATTTAGCACTGAATTGGGTATTTCATTTATTCTTAATGAGTGTCCTATTGGTTTCAGTGTAAACAGTTCAGGTCTTTGTGATTGCAGTGTTTCAAGAGAGAATGTCACATGTGATATAAATACCCTACACATTACACACAATGGTCTACTGTGGATTGGAACATATCATACCACTACACCTTTCAATGATAATGAAACCAATCCTAATGCATGCATTATCAATGAGGACTGTCTCCTCTATTGTTCTCCTAATCCTGTTATCTTTCAGTTCAATCACACTGATACTCAATGTGTGGATAAAAGAGGACACAGAATGTGTGGATCATGTAGAGATGGATACAGTCTACTAATGGGATCAAACAAGTGTAAACAGTGTCATAATAGTTACATAATGATAGCTTGGATTGCTCTGTTTGCAGTGATGGGTGTACTACTTGTGGTTCTACTCATTGCTCTCAAATTAACAGTATCAGTGGGTACACTCAATAGTCTATTGTTCTATGCTAACATTGTCAAGTTATACGAACCAGTCTTTTCAAGGAAACGAGCATTACCAGTATTGAGTCAAGTCATATCATGGATTAACTTAGACTTTGGGATTGAGATATGTTTTTACAATAGTATGGACAGTTATGCTAAACAATGGCTCCAGTTTGCTTTCCCTCTCTACCTGTGGATCATTATCATTATCATTATACAATTAAGTAGGAGATATCATAAGATATCAAGACTGATGGGGTCTCATGCTGTTCCTGTTCTATCTACACTCTTCCTTCTCTCATATACTAAACTAGTACGTACTATTGTTATTGTATTACACAAGCGTGAGGTAACTATTCACTGTACAAATGAGTCAGTAAGATCAGTTAGTTTATGGTATGAGGATCCTAATGTAGAATATGCTAAAGGGAAGCATGCTGGACTATTTGGATTTGCCCTATTGGTGTCTGTTTTCTTTGTCATACCATACACACTGTTCCTTTTACTCAATCCTTTTTACGAGAAGTACCTTTCAAATTTCAAAGTTTTCAAAAATTTTTGGAATCATTTCAAGCCTATTATTGATGCTTATAGTGGTCCAATGAAAGATGAGTATCGGTTCTGGCCTGGTCTACTGCTAGTGGCTAGGGTACCAGTACTATTATCAGTTACTTTAGTTGACAGTTTAATCCAGTCACAGCACTTCCTATTGTCAATGCTATTGACAGTGTTAGTTATTGTGCTATCATTGGGTCATTGTTTTGGTGGAGTTTACAAGAAGAGAATGAACAATGTACTTGAAGTTTGGTTCTTGTTTAACTTGTGTATCATGGTTGGCCTATCTGTAGCCTTTACTGATGAGAGTAAAATATTGATCTGGTACAATACTTGTTTATCTGTTTTTATTTTTAGTTTTATTTTGATTGTTGTTTATTATCTTTACCTGCAGTTATCACACATGAAATGTTTTGATGCTCTAATTAAGAAGTTATTCAAGAAACAAGATGAAGGTGATAATTCTCTAACTGAATCACATAAAACTGTTGATCAACAAATGAGAGAAATCATTGCACCAAATTCTACCGATGTTGTACTCAGTAATGATCATCGTGAATCAGTTATTGATTTGTTTTAAATATAATCGTTAGTAATTTTTGCTGCCACATACTTTTAATTATCTACTATATTATTAGCAACTTTATTTTTAGAAGCGTAACTATAATTAATCTATTCTTCATTACTTTTTAGAATGTAGTCTCATACAGTGTGTGCATACAATTGTCATAATAATTAACTATTATTATTTTTGTTGTTTTGTTACTATTGCCTTTCATTTGCGTCTTTTAGCCAACAAGTTATTTCATTAGTTAATTTGTGGGGAGTTTGATGCAAAATTAACAGCCAAGTCTATGTACATGTACATGTACATGTGTCTTCCTAGAATTCCAATTTAGACAAGTACAAATTTGAAAATTCTAAAAAATTCTTATTCAATATAAAAGTACATGCATGTGTACATATCTTCCTAGAATTTTGATTTGTTCAAATACAAGTACCAGTCAATCCCCATGCACCTGTTCACATAAGCCACCATATTTCTCTGTAATGAAGCAAAACAGATATAATCAAAATCTCAATTACCAACAAACTCTCCTTCACTAATCACTACCCCCCCCTCTCTCTCCTCCTATTTTAAAAGCATAATCCTTTTCTTCAGTGATTATTACCGTATTTATTATTTAGTTACGCAATACAGTACTACTGGCATAGATCTATCAGTATTGTAAAAAGGCATACATAGATCTTGGAATAGTGATATGCCACAGCTTTGACAAAACACCCAGTACTAGCTACGATAGTACGAGATATTTCTCATAAATTGCTAGGAAAATTCTTTTCATTTTTAATAATTCTTTCTGATGCACACATTCTTGCTGCATAAAACCCTTGAGCTCATTCTGATCAAAATTTGCTCCAAGAACCATGTACTACTGTGGTGCTTGTCAGTTCATGAAATTTAATTAGCATGTTTTAACGGAAACCGTGAGTGTGGGTTTAAAAGTACTGCTTATTTATGTTGGGATTTTGAATTTGATTTGAACACACATAGCAATGTATCATGTAACGTAAACTTAATATTCATTTGATTATATGATGATTCATTTGTAATGAATTTCCCATGCATGCAAGTGTGTGTGTGTGGGTGAGTAAACAGCAAAGTATGAATATACTTAAGTGGCCTATAACACTATATTATATCTTAAACAAATCTATGTAACTATACACAGCAAATTATGCAACACAACTACATTGAGATAAAAAATTTATAATTATTTTTAAGAGTTTTACAAAGTAATTATTGTCTTCAAGAGATAATACTCAAGATACTTTATTGTTGCTTGAGTTTGTATCCTTAGTTTTCTTAGTTTCAATTTTCTCAAAGTTGAACCATGGAGTAAGCATGGTTAAACTAACAGCATCAAGTATTGCAATGCTTGCAAACAGGGACTCTTCATTAGTGACAGCAGGAATGGGTGCATCAATCATCGAGTCATAAGACCAGTACAAATTTGCAACTGTAATATGGTAGAGATAGTACAGAAAGACAATTCGTGGGACAAAAAGACAAATTCCTTGAAAAAGTATAATGAATGGGAAACAGACTAGCATACGAACTTTTTCTTCACGGCTACATGTTTTATTCTTCTGGCAACATGTTTTATTCCTCTGGCTACATGTTTTATTCTTCTGGCAACATGTTTTATTTCCTTGACTGCATTTCAGTAGTATCCACGTTAGGATAGCAACTGCTAGTGCTGAGAAACCAAATGTTGTAGCAGCATTCTCTAAACCTTCCAGTAGGTGGACTTCAATGCATGTGAGATCTTCGGTGTCATTTAAGAGTGGGAATGCTTTTTGAGTGACATTGAAGATATCGATACAATATGTATGGCGATCAATGGGGTCCCAGTTACTGATGATGGTGTTGGTGGAATTGTGAAAAGCACTGTCCCAGAACGTGAAGAAGCTGTGTATGAAGACAATGAGTGTAAGATAGAGAAGAATGTACGTATAGCAAACTGGAGCTTTGTACCCAAACAAGCTGAAGTGACTTTCAGAGTCGTTACGTTTCAAAAAACAAAAGATATTTTCAGAAATTTTTATGACTAATTTGTTAATGCAACTCCACCACCTTTTCTTATCAGACCTACATGTAGGTCTATCACTATCATCACTGTAGCCATTACAGCCTCCAAAGATTAAGTTGGGTACAGATATAATAAGGAAGACAACAGTAAAACAAGGGATCAGAATGACAATAACAATTTGCATCAGGTATTTAAAGAAATCACTGGCATCAGCAAACCCATCACTGACAAAGAAAGCCATGACAGCACAATATTGACGCGCAAAATGACAAGATGCTCCTGCGCTCCCTGTTCAGTATAATAAGTAGCAGAAATCAAACCACTCTTTCCTTCCAATCCTCAAGTGCGTGGTGACGCTCTGCATGATTCTAGCTAATGAATTTTAACACTGTGCATGCAGCAGACATGTGCCATGATGCATGAATATATAATATCAGTAGTACACTAGTACTATAGAATTAGGATAAATTTAACTCACACGATTGCCCCTTGACAGTATTATCTGCACCAGTCCACTGCAGTTCAGTGAGGAATAGTACTGTAGTCTGTATAGGCAAGAAGGTAATTTACAGCTGGCCATAGCTTTCATCATCAGCTTTCTCCTAATGTGTGGTTTTAGAGCTCTTCAGGTGAGATCGACGGTGGCCTATGAATATCATTACTGTTCATTACGGTATCCACCTACGGTGATAATTGGCCGCCATTTTGGACGGCAAGATTCAATGGAGGATGAATGAAGAAAAGGCAAAACTGATTTTTTTTTTCGTTGGCATGGAGCTTTTTCAAGCTACAAAGGCTGGTTGGAGGAAAGAATGGTCGCTACTAAGCATCTCCTAAAAGGGATTTGGTGCAATATGAAGCATATTCTTTAATAGAGATGTTTCCCCATGGGCGTTAATTGAGGGGTGGAGCCTCGTGTCGGCCATCTTGGTTGGCAAAAAGGCCTATGTGCGCGAGCAAAGCCATCTGTATGCAGGCATAGATAATGATGCAGGTGTGTTTTTATAACAGCAATGGTGGTATCTTGTTGTATCGTTAACTGTACAAACAGAGTGCAGAAGGGAAATAAGCAGAGGTTTTATACCAAAAGTGATTCAACATCTAGGAGAACAGACAAAATATTTGACAGAAAGAAGGTGAGATTAGGCTGCCTGTGTGTTCACAGCCTGGCCTTGTGTTAGCTAGCCTTCACTGAGATATGTATTTATTATGCATTATGGCATGATGTAGGCGAGCAAAGTGGCTATCTAGAATTAATCGTAAAGACTGGTATCCCAGTGACCATGACAGAGTTTGCTCAGACCATTTCTTATCAGGTTAGAACTGCAGGTTTAGCATGATAAATGATGATATTACTAGGCAAACCATCATCAGATCATTTAGATCCAGACATAGCACATCTACTCAAATTCTATCTACTCTGTATCTACTTGTATTTTAATTTTTTTAACCAGTATTTACTTGTATTTACTTTGTAAGTAGATGTGTATTTTCATCTACAGGCTAAAAATATGCAAAAAGCATCACATGAAATCTTCCATTGCAGTTATTTACTTATGATGAAAGCCATGTGGGCACTGAAATTTCATACAAAAGAATGTTTTCTGTTGAAAAGAAAAAATGCACAATGGCTACCTGCCTGATTAGCACTAAAATCAGAAGAATAAGCATTAGGAAACAGTCTTTTAAGCTTTTCAGATGATTATTTTAGTATAGATATAATACGTGAAATATCTGAAAATAAAGGCGAATATTTTAGGTTGCTCTCCTCTATCTACCACTATCTACTTGAGCCTGAAAATTCGTGTAGATATTTGTGTATTGTGTATACATGTGCTATGTCTGTTTAGATC